ACCAATTTCGCCACACGAGGCAGTCCTCCAAACAGCAGTTAACGGCAATTAAGAGCAGTTAAGTTGGCTGTGAGAGTAAGGGCTAAATTGCTTCTATTGCAGAGTTCAGGGGTTTAAATGCTTCAATTAAAGTCTGGGGGCTTAATAGCGATTCTGGGGTTGGTTCAGGGGCTTAACTTATGGTTTTGCCCTTTTTTAGGTTACCATGTTGAAGTTACAAACTCCCAAGAAAGCCAGAGCCAAAAGGGAGCTGGAAAAAGGCGCTCCCAAGCTCCTAAGTTTCAAAATTCTTCAGATACTCATATATAATCCATAGCTTCTTTTTTTTTTTTTTCTCTCCTTTGCTCATTCTGGGTTTTCTGTGGTTTTTTAAATGCTGTTTGCAGGTTGAAACTGGGAAGAAGACACTGAAGCTTCAGGGTACAAAGACGAGCAACACTCTGAATGCTGTACTGATTGGAATTTACCACCTGAAGAAAGGTGGAGCTGTGAGTTATACATGCAAGAATGATAATATTAGGCCATTTGAAAGTGGGGGTGAAACTTCTTTGCAGTTCTTTTCTCTCAAGACCGATTGCAGCCTTTTTGTGGTCAGTATAGCTCTCGTGCTCTTCCATTCTGGTTATGTTTTGAAATCAATCTTTATTTTAGAAAATCAATGGACTTTTTTATTTTTTTGGTATGTTGTTTTCTGTAATGTCTCTGACAAAGGTATTTATGTGTTAAAAATACAAAAAAGTTTAAGACTTACATGCTTAAATGCGATTTATATTGTGATTCAATATGGTTTTACAAGTCTTGGTCCCAATGTAGTGTTTGGCTTGGGGGATTTAAGATTCTGTTGAGTCCCATAATAGCATTCCCTGTATTTATCCCAGTTAGAGAGAGCATGGAAGTTCTTATTTTTCTCTGTTTCTCATTTTTCAGTTGGGATGTCATTGTTACTGTCCTTTGACTCTGTTCTTTATGCACAATGCTAACCCTTTTTGTTATTTGTTGGCAGTATAGATGTATTAGTTTATTTGAGCCTGTTAAATTCTCCCAAAGTAGGTGAAACCATTGCCAATGTTTATCAGAATGAAGCAAGATGATAAAATGGGACTGATTTGATATTCTATGGCGGTATGGCCTATGTTTGTGTAGTATGGTTCACACTCAAAGAAGTGACTGGACAATCTTGTTATAGGGTGGGCATATGATCACAACATTTATGACTTGGTAGAGGTTGGAGTTGAAAACTTCAAATCTATGGATTCATTCACTTTTGACAAGAAACTAGTGCCCTGGGTTGGATCAAAGCCTTTCATTTCTTTTATTGGAGAGGAATTTGAGAGTGTGGACCAGCTAAAACATTTGAAGTTTTGCTTGATCTGTTTCGGGGAGAGGTGTGATTCTAGGGCTTTTTGAACTTCTAATTATTTTACACTTAGGATTAATATTGATAAAACATAAATTCAACTAATGCAGGTTGTGGAAAATTTAAATCTTGTTGGGGTCAACTGTGCTTATGTGTGTACAGCATTGTCACCAAATAGAGTGCTCCTTACACATTGTGCATTGCGGCTCAAAAAGTCTGGCACAGTAGTACCAAGGATAAACTTGTGGAAGTAGGCCCTTCTATGGATTTGGTAGTTCGTCGCCATTGCCTTCCAAATGAAGGCTTGAGGAAAGAGGCTATGAAAACAGGTAAAGATCAGCCTAAGAAGAAGGTAGTCTGACTAAGACTTGCCCATTAATTCATCCAGTCTTCTTAGTAAGATGAAATTTTAGTAAAATTAGCCTTCATTTCATTGTCACTTTGCAGGTGAGAAATGTTAGCAAGGATGCCATAGAAGGAAAGATTGGAAAGATTGGAAAGATCTAGATCAGAAAGTAAGAGGACAATTGTTTATTAAGTTTGGTACATGGAATTATAATTAAATTGGTGGGGAACTATTCCCCTTCACACAACTGTCCACTCTTTAGTTATTTGTAATTATATTTTTACCATATTAGTGTCTGGTGCAATTTTTCATGTAATTGTTATTTATTGCAAACAGATTGGAGAAATGGCTCATCCTAACAAAGCAAAAGGAGTGAAGAGAGAATGTTGTGAAGCTAAGCAGAAAGTAGTTGATGAACGTGCATCAAAAAAGCAGAAGGAAGATGCTGAATAATTCTTTGGATGTGTGTTGTTACAGGATAACTGTCTCACACTTACTTCCTACTCTATTTTGCTCTGCGCCATTCTACTTGCGAATGGTAATTCATTGGAGGAGGTG